CACACCCTAAAGTGCTCACAAATCAAAAGAAATACATCTTTACTCATTATCAGCTGTAAGAAAATCCTTGATTTTATTAACTACACTCTAGTTCAAATACTACTAATTAAGATAGTGATTTAATTTTCTTCGTAATTAATATTCCTTAAAATGCATAACTTTACCTACATTTAGTTTACAATCGATCCTTTGCTCAAGAATTATGGTTATCGCTACGAATAAGTTCCTGTAACTTTCTGCGTTGTATTTATACTGATAAAGAAGAATTTTTCCAAGTGTGATAAAGTTTTTTTTTCTTTAGAGAAGTTGGAAAGATTTTTTTAATTATACTGCGCTGTTAGAACAGAAAAAAAAAGAAGTCACTGATTCATTGTTAATCATTTTTGTCGTTCAGTCGTTGTTGCATACATTGCATGCAAGAAAAAACTCATACCTTAATTTTTTTCAGGATTATAAGAGGTTGAAAGGAAACAAAATTGAAGCTCATGACACTACTCTCGCATTTTCAAGACAATTGAGTCAAAAAACGATCTAACCAATATGTCACGCATAAAATAGAAATGTATAAAGTGTGGATGTGGGTGGGTGTGGGTATGGGTATGGGTGAAGGACTTATCTATGCTTACATCCACACACATCCACATCTCATTCGAATCACGTCTCAAACCGATTTTTCTCAGCTATTATTCAACTATTTTACATCGAAGGAAAAAGATTTTTCTTCATCAATAGATAGCAGAAAGTGTTTTCTACAAGTCTATGTTAAAATCTAAAAAGAAATCCATTTTCTTTCATAGAGTTTTTACAAAAATGGAAAAACCATTGGGAATATGATTGGAATTACACCAATTGGGGTAATTTAGATCACTCCAGCAGAAATCAATAGAATATCATAAAACTTAATTTTCACATCTTTCTATTAACTAATGATAAATTAAAATTAAATAAAAAAGATACACCATTCGATAGACCAAAGTTATTTCTATGGAATCTGAAAAGATTGCAACATTTCATTGAAAGGTGTGGATCTCCAACATAACAATACTTCCATCCAGACCCACATAGGTACACATCCACACCGTGCCAGTCTGGCCTGCAGGTCATGGTAGTCCTAAGTTTGTGATCTGGATGATACTTAGTCGGCTTTTTTTTGATATTCATCGATTCTGATGAGAGGTAGTATAAGACGTTTAAGACACTTTGCTAAGTTTGTTAAAATTGAAGTTTCACTTTAACTTGGATAATTCATGTTTAAGCGACATATTCTAATTCTATGACTATCACCTTTTTTTATACCTTCATTTCCACCATTTTCCACTAGTCTTGTCGTAAAAAGAATTATGAATGCATTACCTTGCTGTTTATTGTGATGAATGACGGTGGTGTATACTATAATGAAATGAACTTTTTGCATACATTTTAGTTTAGCGTTATCTGCGAAGGTTCAGGTTGGTACCTAATGAAAAGCTTGCAGGCCAGCCCAGGTCAAGCCGAAAAAAGTGACCTGTTAGCAGACCTGACTCATATAGCTTTTATATGATCAGTGTTAGAAGTATAACTAAGATTATAGGACTAGTACGCTTCAAAAATCAATGATAATCATTATCGCGAATAATGTTTCATCGAGCTGGAAATGTCGAAAAACACGTCTATATAAAATTCAATTTTCTTTCATAAAATAATACACTTGTAAACAACATCCAACTGCGTAGTATTTATATCTTTGCAGGTTAACATTATTTGTGTATGTAGTTTCTGTCACAAAAAAAAACAATTATTGTTCTTTTCTTAATTTGAAAGTGCATTTCAAGAGACTGCTGTCATTTTTCTTGTCTCTCTTTGGTCGTCTATTTACCAATAGAAAATGGTAATAGTCTATCAGGCGATAAAATGAAATGACTTGAATATTCTAAAATTTTGTTTTATATGCAAATAGAAAAATGAGTTTTCCATCAGTTTAATGCGACACATTAACTTGACAGTTTTGAATGGTAGTTGTGTTGTCCAATCTTTATTATATCCTCTTTTACAAAATATTAATGAGATAAGTTTCACATATAACTTAAGTCAATATGATCAAGAATCAACATTTTTTTTTGCATGTTTAACTGATTGATAATTAGAATTGACTAAAATTCCTTGAGATCATGTTAAGAAACTTTTTTGTATCATTTAGTAACTAGTTACATATTTGTAGATGCTTATTCTCGATAGAAATACGCACCAAACGTGTTTATAGAAAAGTTTTTTTTCCGAAATCCTTTTAAAATTAGAAAAGTTTTTTTTTAAATTTTTTTATCGATTCTTAGTACTTTTCTGAGCGATCTAAATTGATCAAGAAAATAATAATTTCTTTTTTTTTTCTGGACAATATAGATTCATCAATATTCATTGTCGGTTATCAACGAACAATAATCGATAGCATAAAATATTTTAAGAGTAAGCTCGATTAACATTTTAAAAAAGTTTACTGTATTAATTTTAAGTACCTGTTAAAATGTTTTAGTATTTTTTTTATTACAATAATCAAAGTATTCTACTTGAAAAACAATTACCGTTCTGATAAAAAATGATTTAGTGTTTGTGAATGTGGGTTTGATTGATTTGTATGACATTTGATAAAGTATAGATAACTCAAGTAGTATAGGATGTTCATTCTAAATGACGTAAATAAAACTTGCTTATATTTTTTAACATGTACCATATTTTATCATTATGAATATTGGAACCAATATTTTTCCAATTATGATTTATAATAGATGACGTTATATGTCACAAGAAAAATAATAAAAATATTTCCTGAATAGGTGAGGAAGTGGGAACGAAATACGAATCACTTCCCCATTTTGATTTATTACTTTTAGATTAATTGATTTTTCGTATACAAAAAAGGACAATTTTCAAAACTGGAACTTTCCAAATAGGAAATGAGTAAGTTGCATCCGATTTCACGAGAGTATCAAATTTTGTTACATATAAATATAACTTTTACATACGACTTGTATCGGGATTCGAGTTTTCATTACTTGGTAACTCGCACTTGAATCCACACCTTATGTATGTATATATATATTCGACGAGCTGTGTGATCCATGTCAATATGATAGAATCAATAATTATGTAGTTTCTTGCATTATTGTTAAGTTCCATACGAACTTGCCGAATCAATATTCACTGAGAATGATAAATATGACAATTATGGATGTGTATCCTACTGAAATGGTGTTCTCGATCAATTTTGCTGATTGTTTCAGAACGAATTTCGACTATTTGTTTGACTTCTAGGATGCAAGGAAAGTCGATCATAGTATGCTTTTCAAGTGTATAAAGTCTTCTTCGATTTAACCAAATTTTCATCGCGCTTCGTTCAAAAACAAACTGATTGGAAATTTTGTCTTTCCTGGACACATATGACAGAAGTACTTGTAATGAATCTGTTTTTATGACATTGGCTGCTTTCTGAAACAAAATCGGTTGTTATGTAAAGTATTTTATTATTTGTATGGCTCCATTAAGCCTTTATGACGCCATCTTACATTCTATCGATTTGAAAGGTTTGTTTAAATTTTCAAAAAATGAAATATCAGAAATTACGAAAGCTTTCAAGCCTGCTCAATAATTTAGATACATTCCTGACTCTAAATTGGCCAGTAATTTCTGAAATGGCATCGAACTCCAAGATATTACTGAATTTTCTTTACAATTATTTTCTGAATATTCGAATATATAAAAATAAGAAAAAGAAGATCCTACTTCCACGGTTATGTGGAATTTTAGAAATTATTAGGAACTTTTTAGTAACTACTATGAGATTTCAGTAGTTTATGAAATCTTCGGGTAATTTCTAAAATTCTTCATATTTCTTAGTGGTTGAGTCTTATTATTTTTATACATCAATATGTTTAGAATATAAAATATATGGAAATTTCAGTAATATCTAAAATTTGTGAAGTTTTATTTCTTGTGATTGAGAGTTTCTGAAATGCGTAAATCTCGAGCAAATTTTATACAAAGCAGGTTTCATCGAATCATTTCAAAAAGAAAAAAGATTTTTTTGCTTTGTATTTCAATTCTTGAATATTCTTCGATCACCAAAGCTAGACAAATATTGACATTGGTTCTGAAACAATCAACAGTATTTGCTCTGAATATTATATCAATACATTAAATATCTATTATTTCAAATACATGTTTATCATGATCAGTAAATATTAATTAGACAAATTCGTATTTTATGCTTGCCTTCGATACTTTCAAAGACTATTTTTGAATAAAAAGATAAATTTCAAGATTGATTCCAAGCAAAAAAAAGTCACGATTCAATGCATCAAATCATACATACATATAAAATTATCGAACAATTAATTTTTATTATGAATTATGCAACAAGAAAAGATTGCATTATTTCTATTTTAGAATTATAATGTGCCGTAAAAACCAACAAAATTTAAAAACAGATGGTCTATCCATATCACTGGTGAGTCGCATTTAATTATAAATAAATTAAAGCTTGTCATTATTTAAATTCTATTTATTTTTCATTTTGTAGTCTTTTACAAAACTCGTGGGATTTGACGCACAAAACAAAAATTCTCTACTAACACATATCTGTTGTATATGTACTTACTTATTTCGAAATCCTATTCAATTGGAATGTGGACACCGATTTTGTCGGTTATGTGTTTATATTGACGAACAGTAAGTATAATTACTTTTTCCTTCTAGTCATTAATTGATTTGAAATAAATTTTATTTATTTGAAGTTCTAAAGTAACATGTAACATATGCAATCATGTGACACAGAGTGACAGAGTAAGATAAGATTTTTTTTTCTTGTCTATGCTAATAAAAATAGATTCAATATATTTTGTTTACTTTGAAGATGATTGATGATCGAGGTTGTCAACTAGATATGGAAAAATTAAATATTATTTGTTCACTTTGCGATTGGAATGGAATATTTAAAGTTTATCAAGTAATATTATTTGATGTTGTTTTTTTTTCTATTAACTATTATTTTATGTCTCAGAAACATTTAGATGAAGCTCATTTGAATCCTTTCTGTAAACATTGTGGAACAGTGTGCAACACAGTTAATACTCTTACTCAACACATACCTATCTGTGAGAAAGTTTGTGTCAATTGTCTTCTCGAATCATACGGTTGTAATGAACAAGTATTTAAAAAAAAAAGATTATTAATCATCAAAAACTTTATGTTTTTTTAGTTCCTTCGAATGAATACACAAGATCATCTTCGAAGCGAAAAACATCAAAGAATATTACTTCAATATATTCTTGAAAAAACTACTCCATCAGTAATATCTTCTCGTACAATGACAACTAACAATGGTGAATATGATACGACTTCGATGGGAAATCTTCAAGAATTACATGAAACAATTAATATTATGTTGGATGGTATTAAGGCGTTAACTGATGATCTTCAACAACTCGGTTCAGAGTCACTCCATCATCATACTTCACTAAGATCCATGTCTGAGGATATTTCGAAATTGAAAATTGCTGTTGAAGAAACACATTCATTGATCGATGCTCATCAGACTAATCAACAAATCTTTCAAAGAAGTCTCGCTTCATTTCAACAAGAACTAGAAGAACAAAAGAATATTTCAACTGATGGCACATTTCTATGGAAAATTACAAATGTTCAACAAAAAATAGGTTTGTTAAAGAAAAAAACAATTATTGTGAAACACGATCTAAGCGGAATGTTGAAGATACTCTTTAGTAGTAGAAAATTGGATCCTTATTTATTACTAAGATCTCATAAGAATATATAAAGTGGTTCTCTAGTACAGTTCTAGAGGATTAAGCAAAAGATGATAACACTTACTCAATTTAGGATAGGCATGAGTGTACTTAAGTCTTATGGCTCTGCTCGTTCCCACTATTTTTCAAGCGTTGATCTATATTAGCTCAAGTCTATCAAAGCCTTGGTCTCTGCTAGTTCAAGGACAAGAATCGATAGTCGAGGAAATATGGACTGAACATTTAAAAACTTCCCCCATCTGCCAGAAGAACAGGAAAACTAAACAATAATAGAATATTCTTACATTGAGTCAAGCCTACCGAACCCTTAATCTATTCTATGTTGAGCCTATCCTTCGGCAAGCTAAGATAGGCTGAAGTCTACTCAAGTCTAATAGTTTCACCACTCATGGTTCCAAGATAGATTGGATAAAATCATATTCGCATGATAAATAATAATAACTAAATCATGTTTGAAATTTTAATCTTACACGGAATGCACTAACAGCTTTTCCTCATAATCAAATCATCTTTGAGAAAAAGAAAAATATTGTTTAGTCTAAGAATCAAATTTAAATGAACTATAACATAGAATTCTTCGTTTCTATAGGTTTTTTTTCGAATTTTTTAGTCGATGCTCAGAATGAGCAACAAGTTTCTGTTTACTCTCCCGCATTCTATTCATCACCAAATGGATATAAAATGTGTCTTCGTCTGTATTTGGCTGGTGATGGTAATGCTCGACATACTCATATGTCGCTTTTCTTCGTACTTATGCGTGGAGAGTACGATAGTATTCTTGAATTTCCATTCCGTTTCAAGGTGACGTTTGCTCTACTTGACCAAATATCTCAACAACGTCATATTTTCGATTCTTTCCGACCTGATATAAAATCAAATAGTTTTCAAAGACCTCGATCAGATATGAACACCGCTTCTGGTATTCCAAAATTTTTACCACTAACAATCATCCAACAAGATAACAATCCATATGTTCGTGATGATACAATGTTTATCAAAGCCATTGTTGACTTTAGTGACATACCAAAACAATTAGTACCATATACATTAAGTGTCAATCCTGGTTTACCAATTTTGACTCAACACGAATTGATCAAGCGCGAGATCGAAAAACGAGCACAAGAAAAATCACAAATTACGTCTAACACATCTATGTCTATCAATCAAGATATGAATATGAATCACGCTGGCAATAATGGTTAACTGATCATATCTTGAATATTTTCTAAATGATATATTCTGCCAATACTTCACAGTTCTAGTATAATCGAGAGTCAACAAGCTCTTTAAACGTTGTGTTATTTTTTTCAATATTTCAAAATAAAATGACAGCATCAAATGCAAACTTTGAAAATTATAAACCACCAATGTATACAGTATGACTGAGTCAGTTCATGGCATCATACCTTTTCGGACACTCTATTTTCTGTCGATGAACAGTTCTTCGTTGACTTGTATGCTAAGGATTCGTTCAGTACATGAGTATGGGTGCGGATGCTAACTGAAAATTTTTTTCCGCCAACACTTGCCAACTTTTTTATGCATGAATGAATAAACGATCAAGATTCTAGTTATTTATTGACCGCTTTCAGAAAAAAAAGTTCATATTCACATCCATTCTCAATCAAAATGAATTATGTTACTTGTTTTCTTCTAACCACTTTCAAAATGGCGTTGAAAGAGTGTGAGTTTGGAATTTATGCAGCTTTCTAAAGACTCTTCGAAATGCGGACCAGTGTTCTATATATTTTCTGTATAGTTGAACTGAATTCTATACAAATGATACTTTGCGCAATTCCTATATTTCTACCAAGCAGCGCTATGATGCCAGTTTGTCGTCTAGTTGCAAAGATAACTGTATCCATTATACGTACATGCTAATATATTATATTTTATTCCAGCTATACATTGATTGATGAACAATATCTAGGATATGATAATATTCGAGTGAGTTTAGGAAAAATAAACAAGATATAGAGAGAAAAGGGAAATAACAAAAAAAAAACAAGAGAATGCAGGGTGTGGGTGTGAACGTGGAAGTGGCTGTGTGCGTTGGTTTAAGTGTACGTTTTCCTTCTATTTCCATCCAGACCAGCACCAACGTCCACACTCTAGTCCTATAATTTTAATTTTTGTATCATTTTGTAGCGGCAACTTTTTTGTATCGGAAAAGTCAAAATTTTTTTTTGTGAAACTTCTTGTAAAAATAAATTATTGAAATCTTTTCAGATCCCATAGAAAAGACTTTGGACTATCGAATAATCTATTTTTTCTATTTAATTTATTGTTAATTAATAGAAATATTGGGATGTTAAGTTTTATAATTTTCTATTGGTTTCTGCTCGAGCAATCTGAATATGAATTATATCAACTCGTGTAATTCCGATTATTTTCTCAGTGCTTTTGCCATTTTTGTAAAAACTCTATAAAAAAAACGAATTTTTCTTAAAGATTTTAACATAGACTTGTAGAAAACACTTTGTGCTATCTATCGGTGAAAAAATCTTTTTTCTCCTAGGTAAAATAGTTGAGGTATGGCTGAGATAAATTGATTTTTTTGAGAAGTGATCCGAATTACACTAGCTGATTATAATTTTCGGAAAGAATCATTTCGTGTATGCTCTTAACATTCTCAAAGTTTAACATCAGTCTCATTATCACAGTGTTTGTAGCTACTGTTGATTTTGTAAATATAGCAACAATTTCATATATAACAAGTATCGTGACTGTGAAGTTCTCGGATTATGGCTTTCTTTGGTTCAATGTTGATGACATCGTAGACGAAGAATGAGAATTCACAGATGAGATGAACTCACACGCGATGAGAAATAGTGATTCTTATGTTTTTACTTCGTATACTGAGATTTTACCTGTGAAGAAAAATATTGAATTTATTGAGTCGTTCACTGAAAGACAAATCTAATTAATATTTTCAATAATATACTGAAGCTTATGAATACCTACGATTTTTTTTTCAAATAACGTGTTTCTTGAAACATGGAACATTTTGATACGTTAAAATATATCTCTTGAAAATATTCTAATTTTTTTATACGACTGTGTGACGAAACAGATTCGACAATTTCGAAGTCTTCTCTCTTGTTAACTATTTTTCTCAGTCAAATAACTGCAGAGGTTTCGTACATCATATATTAATGAGGTAGCAGAAACCTTATCAATGCTGCAGAAGAGATTATGCTGCCTACTTTTCAATCATTCTTCCAAACTGTAGTGTCTAGAAAGAATAGATCACTTGTTGTATGATTCAATTAAATCAAATTATTTACATCGTATGATAAAAAACTATAAGCAGATTCAAAGCTTCTATTGAAAATGATGAATAGAATAACATTCTATTCAATTTTTTTGCATTTTTCGCTACAACAGAGTCAAACTTCTACTGTGAAACAGATTCCTACTATAGATTTCTTGTCAACTGATTATTGGAAATTTGTATTATTAAAATTGCCTAGTAGAGATGCACAAAGAATCAAATAATATAAAAAAGAATAAATAAAAGAGAAACTGATAAGCTATGCATACGATGAGAAGAGGAAGCAGAGTGATTTTCTTCTTTCTAAATTTTTCTTACATTCTCTGTTTCTCCCTGAAAATTTCCTGTTGTGGATAACTAACATATTTATTAGTTCGATGCTAAAGATTGCATATGTAAAAATGAAGTTCTGTTAGCAATTAAGGAAAAACTTGATCGTCAATATATCTAAAATTCATTTAATAGATACAGTAGTATCTTATGTGCGAAATCCAGCTCAATATCTAGATAGCAACTCCAATTGTTCTTTTACTGAACATGTTTCGACTAAGTAGCATATGATCTACCCGATGGATATTTTTGTCTTAAAATACATAAAATTTCAAGTTTCCATAAAAAAACTGATATTGTGTTCAATTTTGTTCTCTTCGGTCAAAGTAGACGAAGAAAAGAACACTCACAACTACACACTCATACACAGACCTATATCCCACACCCATTGATCTATGCATCACAAATGACTCATTATTCTTTGCTGCGTTTTCATTTCTTACAACGACATCTGCAATCCTCTATTCAACTGGTTTTCTCTACGTATAAAAATTCTAGTTGAATGATCGATGTACCAATGAAATAATCATAATTACAAAATATTTCTAACGTCTATTGGACGTACCCGCACGACAGCGAAGTGCATCATCAATAGCGAAAAATGCACTTTGAGATGGCGCCACAAACTTGACACTTTTTGAAGAACTTCTAATACTTCATTTTGAACTTATAAAATGATATAATAATTTTAGTAATATCAGTTTTATAGGCCTCTGTCCTGTTTAAGAGATCATCACTGATTGGACGCTAACTACGCATGGAACTTACTTTCAGAGTCAAACAATGATGAGAATGAGTAACGTCACGAAGCTTTCAGCCAATCATGTTAAAAAAATTACTAACGACACCTAGCGGAGCTTTTGAACGCCTCTTCTTTATAGAAAACCAAAATTATCATATGATAGAGAAAAATTTTCTCTATCTACTGATACCTAAGTGATGTTTGACCCTTCTTAAAATCTGAAAACACCAATCATGTTGGACTCGCTTTTGTTTCTCTTATTTCACTATACTCTTTGCCGTGTGGGTCCGTAATATATATAACTTTGATAAAAATATAAAAACCAATATTTCTTCAGATTACTTTCAGACAATAGTGTGACTATTCAAAATATGTACACAGAGTTTTGTTTAATTCGAAGAAGAACTTTTAATTCCTTTTCTTTTTTTAGATTTTAAAAATGGCTTCAAAAATTTTTACACCTACAAATCAAATTCGTCTAACAAATATAGCTACTGTACGATTAAAAAAAGGTGGTAAACGTTTTGAAATTGCTTGTTATCGAAATAAGGTTGTTTCATGGAGAAATAAAGAGTATGTTATGTTTTTCTTTTCTGTTTCATTAAAAATTTTCTTTCTTTAGAGAAAAAGATCTTGATGAAGTTCTTCAAACTCATACTGTTTTTTCTAATGTATCTAAAGGTCAAACAGCTAAAAAAGAAGATTTAATTAGTGCATTCAATACTGAAGATCAAACAAAAATTTGTCTTGAAGTAAAATTTTATTTTCGATGAGAACAAAAAGAAAATGTTTTTTTTGTTTTTTTTTTCTTTAAATAGATTTTAGAAAAAGGTGAATTACAAGTATCTGATAAAGAACGTACTCAACATTTAGAAACTACTTTTAAAGAAATTGCATCACTTGTTAGTGGAAAATGTATTAATCCAGAAACAAAACGTCCTTATACTATATCGATGATTGAACAAGCAATGAGAGATATTCATTTTAGTGTTAATCCTCATCGAAATGCTAAACAACAAGTTAGAATTAATCTTTTATTTCTTGTAAATTTATTTATAAAAAAAAAAAAAAAATTTTAATTTAGGCACTTGATGTTATTCGTCAATTGAAACAATCAAATAATATTCCTATTCAACAAGCACAAATGCGTGTACAATTAACAATATCAGGTATTAATACCATTTACTTTTGTATTGTTTTAATATCATGGAAAATTGTTTTTCTAGCTAAAGATGCAAAAAAATTTAAAGAAAAAATGAATAAATTATCAACAGCACCACATATTGAAAATGAAGAATTTCTTGGTTCATCAATGCAATTAATCTGTTCAATTGATCCAGGAGTATTTCGAGAATTAGATGATTTATTAAGTAGTGAAACACGTGGACAAGGACAATTAGAATTATTAAGTTTAATGGATGTTGCTGAAGAAGATGAAACATTAAATGATTTACAGGAAGAGAAAACAAATGATTGATAAAAATTTTAACTCTTATTTTAATGTAATGTTGATCTCGTTTATATAACATATAATGCATAAGTTTTTGCAAAAATGTTAAACACTATTAAATCATATTGTCAACTTCTAAACTAATGACTTTTTTTTTTGTTAAAAAGAGTAATGTTTGAAGTACAACTTTTATACTACATACATTTTTCTAAGTTGAATCTGAGAAGGAAACAGCTCAACAGCTCTAAAAAAAAATTCCTGAAATTTGATAAATCTGTATGACGCAATTATTTTGAAATACATCGGTCAAATGATCATAAAGAAACTAATATCCCAAACTGTAGCACATAAAAAACTCTATTGATATCATTTTTAGTAAAATATTTTACACCCAGTGTAGGTTCTTTAATTAAAAACGTTTGAAAAAAGAATAGAATTTTTTACAATAACCATCAATAATTCTTTTTTTGTACCCTTTATCCGCAATGCTCTAGATCATAGATATTTAGTAGAAAAGTCAAAAAAAAAAGAACATTTTTAATACCTTGCAGATCAACTCTATAATAAGCATTACTAAATTCTTTAGTCTCTTTTAGAAAAAAAATCATTATCTTCATGTAAAAAACAATGCTATAAAAATCATTATTAAACACGTTTTCTTTCTTCATTCTCTTCTAATATTTAAAACTGCACATGAATTAGAAAATCATGTTACTCGATAGTGAATTTGTTAGAACTTTTTTTTAGAGGTATTTTATTAGTAGTTTAGATATTGTTCTTTTCAACGAAAATGAAAAAAATTCATTAGTTGAGAAGTTACAAAAAATGGTTTAACAATGCTTGACATTTTTTACAAAGACTTTTGCATCGCTTATTGTATGTAAACATCTTCATTTGTCATGATTTTGAATAAACATTCAAAACTAAAACATTAAATCTGGCACAGCTACTTTAATGACAGCTAGAAGAAAAACTTTATAAACTCATGATGTAGAAGAAAACAAAGAAGATCAAAATGTAGGAGTGGGGGTAAAGAGAAAACCCGCAGATCGACATTGCACGTCCACATCCACAATTCAAGTGCCTACCTAAACATTTTGCATGTTTTCTGACAACGATCTGATGTTTCAGCAAAGTATTTTACGAAAAACTCTAAACATATATACTGGTGAAATGTAATTTTTTTTTAATATTTAAGACTACTTTGTTTAAAAGTTGCTTAGTGATCATCTAATCTATAAAAGATAATGTCATCGAATATATATAGTAGAAGATTTATTCAGCAATGAATTATTACAATACGAAAAATAAATTATTACAGTGACAGATACATCTTTGTCTATATTTTTTAATGAGAAATGACTGAAGAACTTCAAGCTGACTTTTTTCGTCTAGTTGAACATTAATGATAATAAATGTATTTAGTTGTTTTCTGAAAATTTGAAATATTTGTTTCAATAATAACTTTCATAATTATCTTTATCAAATTCTTTCTAATCTTATATATATATACTGTATTTCTTCATTACTAAATAGAGAAACAAAATGACACATTCATAAAAATGCCAATAATGATAAAGACTGTAAATAATTTATTGAAGTTTTTTTTTAAAGAAAATTTCAGTTTTTATCTTTGTAAGGTACTCACATGGCGAAAGTCAGTTAAGATTTCTTCTGTTCCTTCTTTCTGGACATGATCCGATAGAGATTTAGCTCTTGATTAAGAAAAAAAAAACTTTTTATCCTTTGTGTATAGTTTGTTAAGGTCGAAAAAATTCAAGAACTGAAAAGAAGTTTTTTTTTTGCAAAAATACCTCGTTGTTTTCAGTTTATATGAAATTTTCTATTCTTCAGCTCCTACGACTTTTTTTCGAAATTCAGCATTAAAAATTCAGTGAAAATACTTGATTCAATCGATCGAAGGGTACTGCAAGGAAATGTTTTTTCTCTGAAGTTATATATGACACATTTTTGCCAAATATTCATAAATAAAATGACATGAGAAGAAAAAGAAATACACAATAACATTGCGAGTTTTTTATCAATTCATGAAAACGATCTTGTTTCTTTTTATCAGTGTATATATTTAGTGATATGTGTATACGAACATCAAAAACTCGTTCGAACTGTCTAATATGACATTTTTCATACTCAGAAAAAAAGTACAGAAGAATATTGGCATTAATAGTGGAAAATTGTTTTTTTTTGTCGGGAAATGAAACGATTATTTGTTTCGTCTTTTTCAATAACGAGAGTATGATTGACTAAATGCGATGAATCATACTTTCCTACGTGCACTATTAGTTAACATTTGAGAGTTAGCTTCTTGGAATAGGCATCACGATGTAGATTTGCCACCTACGCATATGTTTTCGTCATCACAACGTGTATTGCATCAGACTTGACTATTTTCCTCTCATGAAGGCTGTAATATACAGCCTTCTCGATCGTTCTGTAGTGCACAAAATTCTTCCCGTCCTTCACACGTAGATTGTGTGCATTCTTTCATAATGACGACGACGAAATGTGTAGAGATGACTCATTCAAACGGACTCGAACAATCGCTACCATTAGAATTTCCTTATATCGATGATGTATCTCAATATGAACGTATCGATAAGATTGGTCAGGGAACATATGGTGAGGTATTCAAAGGACGATGTCGAAAGACAAATGAATTTGTTGCAATAAAATTGATTTTAATGAATCAAGAAAAAGAAGGTTTTCCTATTACAGCATTACGTGAAATTAAAATTTTACAAGGTCTTCGACACGATAATATTGTACGACTGATTGAAATGTGTCGATCAACAGTGGAAAAGTCGTCTCGAAGTAAATTCTATTTCATATTCGAATTTTGTGATCATGATCTAGCTGGTATTTTACGCAATGTACAAGTCAAATTCAAACTGGAACACATCAAGTCTATTATGCAACAATTACTCTATGCTCTTTATTGTATTCATACAAATCATATAATTCATCGAGATATAAAACCTGCCAATATCTTGATTACACGTAATGGTGTACTTAAATTGGCTGATTTTGGTCTGTCGAAATTGATTACTCCACCAAGACTCGATCAAAAAAATCGACATACTTATCGAGTAGTCACAATGTGGTATCGTCCTCCTGAATTGTTATTAGGTGAACGAGACTACGGACCAGCTATTGACATGTGGGGTGTAGGATGTATCTTTGCTGAAATGTGGATTCGTTGTCCAATCATGCAAGGAGAGACTGAACAGCATCAACTTGAATTAATTTCAAGTCTATGTGGTAGTATTAAACCAAATGTTTGGCCTGGTGTTGATTCATTACCACTCTATAACAAAATAAAGTTACCAGAAGGTGAACGTCGAAAAGTTTACGATCGCATGAAACCTTACATTCCAGAATCATTAGCACTTGATCTAATTGATCAATTACTCATACTTGATCCAAAACAGCGAATCAATGCCGACAATGTTCTTCGTTCTGATTTCTTTTATTCTGATCCACCTGTAATCGATTTGAAAGAGCTTTTATCAAAATATCATTCAATGTTCGATTTAAAAGAAACATCACGTAATGTAAATCATCAACGGTCCAAATTTCCTAATTTATCATGTGACCCAATTTATTAGGAGAGAAAAGAACAACAAAATGAATGTGTTGCTTTTTTTCCGTCTTTATTTGTTTGTTGCCCTTAACAACAAATAAAGACAGCATGTAAATATACAAAACATTCAAGAACAAATCGATCAATTAATTGACAAATATTTTCTTGTCTGTATGAGAATGGTAAGAGTTTTATCAGACAAAAAGTTACAGAAACAAACAAATGAAATTAATTGTTTCGTCAGTTGACCAATCAATTCTTAGTACGACGAAAGATGTGAAAAAATTTTTAATCAAATACATATTATAATGAGTAAACAGTGCGAACTGATGGCAATATTGACCCGCAAGAGCAACATATTTGTAACAAACTAAATGGTAAATTACAAAGGATTGTAACTCTATTTAGTTTTGATCGTTTGTATGCAAGAATTAGTTCGTCGACTGATATTATTATTGGAACTTTTATGCGTAGTCACTATACAAATGAATGTATACAGGATCAATAGGATACGATGTCATGTTTTCTCACAGAATGTAAGACACTTCTTCTATGTTTTTATCATCATATTGTCGAATGAATTAGATAGACTGGTTCATAGTTGAACGCTAGTGCATGACTTGTTCGATATTGCTTCTCGGCCTTTTTGACTAATGAGAAAACATTCCCAGGCACCCGTTTGCTTTTGAATTAAGACTATATGCATCATGCCGACTCTAATGAGCTATGCGTATTCTAAAAGGATTTCGTCACTCTAGTTTGTTTCTGCTCAACATAGAACCATTATTATATTTTTAGCGCAATCCCTGTGATCTACCTCAGGTCATCAGAAAATCAAATTTCGATCTAAAACATTGCATAGATGCAAATCTCACTCAGGGTAGCTAATCTTGAAGCTTCAACTCTCTTGGTTGTTCCCTTCCTGTGATATGAATATTAAATAAACAACGAGTGTATACGAGTGACGTGTCGTGTCTCACAATAGGAACAACGAAAAGAACTAAAACCTTTATCTAAGCACAATTTCAAATCGAAATTCAGTTTTTTGGTGACCTAGTTTGGATCAGAGTTTCTGCTAAAAAATGCAATAATAGTTCAATATCTCTACAGAAACCAGCTAGGAGGACAAAAATCTTTTTGCGGTATGCATAGCCCATGAATATTCACATGATGCACGTTGTCTCGACTTCAGTGTCGTTGAGTTGTCTTGACTCATCTGTTCTGTTGAGGAAATAGGAGCTTCATATCTATTCTCAATCCAATAAAAACAATAATTGATTTCATGGGCATGAATCAGATCGAACTAATTCATTCTATCTATGGTAAGAGAGTGAGAGTGGGATGGAGCTCTCTTCTGTACCCTCACATACCAAAAATAGTGTTCTATCCATTAGCATTTATTCTATGGACAACGTTTTACATCATTCTAGAAAGTAAACTAGAAATCGTATATTCTCTCGATTTGTCGATAGGCGCAATCAATATATGGTGAAAGAATACTAAATAACATTTACCAGTATCTTGTCTTTCATATGTCAAACGAGGAAAAGACCTTGTTTCTAATTCGAATTCACGCATCTCACTAATCTCATCTCACGATAATTCATCGAATGAATAATCTACATCTTCGTGTATGTATTTTCATTCATGCTTCGACGATATGATTTTTTTCCTTCAGAGATGGATTGTATCATCTGCGTCATGTTTTGCGTTTCTTTTCGTTCTCTTACTTTTAAGATGTACGAACTGATGTGTTTATTTCCGGCATATGAAAGTGCCAGAGTCATGATGTTATATAATGATATGTAATTACCTTAAAATTTGGAAGAAAACTCAGAACAACTTTGTATATAACGGATTCGCTCAAAACGAACTTCTCTTCAGACAAAAAAAAAGAATTTCGATGGTGTTATGTGAGCTCTACGAATATCTTCATAAGAGTCTCATTGCGTGTAATATACATATTACATTTAGTGAACTGAACGACGAGCGCCTTAGTTTATGAATGTTGGGTGGTCTCAATTGATACTACATGATTGTGCACATAATACTGATTTGCACTTAAATCGACTAAAAAGACAAATCAAACAAGAAGGACATGTTCAAGATATTTACGGATATTGTGCGAAAGAGGAACCACTGCATCGTAGTATGCCTTCTATTGAAGACAATATCAAGTAGCATGTGCTCTGATGAATCCAGTAATGTCCAAGAACTGAGAAATGGGAATTCCTAAGTGGTGGAAAAACTCTTAACGAAGGACACAAGAATTGACCATTAGTATTGTCACAGCTCTACCCTTCATAAATGTCAAAGTGATGGTTTTTCTGAAATAATTTTCATAACCACATATTCATGTTCATAAATTCTTTACTGGATATCAATATGAGAACAAAAAACTATTGTGCATATTATGTTCTTTTTGCTTTTAACAATTATGAAAGTGTGGGAGACCTTCTATGAAGAAATTCCTATTTCTCAGTCGTTGGACACTCTTTAATTGATCTGGATTGTGCCGATCTTAAGTATGATCTGCCCTTTGGGCGATATTCATTACTCTTTGATCCTAGTATGCGAAAGCGACTGAGCACAGTCAAATTTCTCGTTGAGAATAATTTTTTTCATGTCAATCAAATATAGACATGCCATTCAAAAAGGATCAATAGGCTCTAGATGTCTGCTATTAGCGATCATACAGAAATCGTTGAGTTTCTGATAGCCAGAGAGACCAATAGAAATTATCCGAAACCAGTACAACTGCCTCAAACGATCATATCACGTTAATGAAGTGGCCAAGCTTGGTAGATGCTTTCTTGAACATGACAGATGGGTAGGGAAGGACACTGTTGACATATGGGATTCACGAGAATACACTAAACATAGTCAATTATCTTCTTGAGTAATATCACTATGGGGCAACTTTTGACGATTTGAAACTCCTTTCTTCTCATTTGCGAACATCGAGTCAAAATTCAAAACCTGTTAATTTCAATTTCAATTTCAATTCTTTTTATTTTAATTAAAATAATTTAAATCGAAAGCAATCTTAAATTTCAAATTTTCGTTGTTTAAGTTGTTAAAAATTTACTTATATCAATTTTAATAAACTTCTACATTTAGTTGTACTTTTAACTACCTACAATTTATAGAGTTCGCTGGACATAATGGTTACTATGAATGTCGTGTACTTGTTTTGAACTTGAACACGCCTTCTAATTGCCACTATGCAGAAAACGATGTTCAAATAAAAGACGACTTTGAAATATGAATGTTGATGAGTGTCGTCACTTCATGCACACACACACACACTCATCCACCCATCTTACACTCACACTTTTTGAAATCTCGTTTTGACTTTGATTAAAATTCTTCGTAGATGACTCTTGTCCGTACATTATGAATATTATTTTATCAGTAACAAGAAAAAAACAAATCAGGTAGCCAACATCAATCCAAAATTTTTAAGCCTCTTTTACAAAACTCATCTTACATCCAACCAAAAATAATAATTTTATTTTAAGACTTCGATTACTCTCGAGACCAGTTATTATATGCATATAACTTTATGTCATATAATACTTGATAATAATAATTTATAGAATAAGCATCATGTCATTCTTTATAACATGTACAGCTTTCTACATATATTTCTTTAATTAAAAGTTCATGTCATGTATATATTTCATTCCATCCTTTAACATAAAAAATCTGTATTGAATGAAAACTCATGTCATCAACAATACGCAGTAAGTTTTCTTAAAATAAAATAACTTTTCATGAGTTTTTTTAAAATGATTTATTTTCTATATGCGCTCTCATTAATCAAGTCTTTAAAAGTTAACTATCACATTTATTCATTTTACAAAAAACTAATAGGATTGTCAACTTTAGATCAATCTAAAATTTAAAACAATTTTATTTTACATAACCTTATTTTCTTCATGTTCGAAAATGAGAAGTAGCCGGAAAAAAACACTCATTCACGCTCACCTACCTACATCAACACCTTTAATACTTCCAAGTTGAGTATTTGAAGAAAAATTATTTTATTAAAACATATTGAAAGCGAATCGAATTCTCGAATTCTGATAATTAGTTTGGTAAAGATCGAACACGTCTATTTTAGTTTAATATTGAAAATCTTCAATAGAAATACTGCCCTATGAAAATGCCTTGGTGAGAAAGTCTTAGATAGCCCATTGCATGGCTCTATTTCGAGTGTGGGTGTGGGTATTGGTAATGTCTTCTCTCACATCCACACCCACATCCCACAATTATCCACATCCACACGCACAGACCCGCAGTCACACTCTCAAGTACATATTTGTGGTCAATTCATAGAAATTTATTCGTATGGAAAGAAGTCCAATATAATTTCTAAAACAAATAAGTGATCCAAATCGAACCATTATATTTGATAATTTTTGTCTTGTTTCTTCAAAACTACTTGTTTGCATTAAATTACAAGAAGATTATCAATTGCATGTACATGGTAAAAAAATCAGATCAAGTTGAAGATTTTTCTATGAATCTTTGTGAACTTCATGAAATGGTATTTATACTAGCAACACAAACATTTATATTAAATAGTATAGATAACACATATCGATTATTTATGGAAATAAATCATCAAATAAGGTATAAAAAAAATGATTATAATCATGAAAATATTCGCCTTTTTGAATAAGAAATTATTATATTATACCAATATAGGGTAAGGTACCATGTAAACAACTCATTTAACAATAAAACCAACATGGTATATAAGAAAATGTGATTCAACTGATAGTGGTATCGGTGGTGTATGATCAATTTTTATTTTATTTTTATTTCTCTGTCTTTGATTATATAGTTTATATGTTCTGTGGTGAAAACTACAGGAAAAAACTACTGGATTTAAATAGAAAAAGGAAGAATTTCAGTCAAATAGTG